TCTGCTCCTGTTGCAGTTAGACCGGCTGTATCACAACCTGAATCACCGTATATACAGCGTGACTCATCTGTAGAAATTGAACAAGCACAGGAAGCAACATCTCCATCTGCTTACAGCGCCCATCAGAGTCATAAAGAGTCCAGTGACGACACGCTTTCTGTCGAGAGTGAGCAAACCACCATGTCTCCAATTTTAATGCCTGCCAAGTCGCCGGCTACCTTACTCATTGCAGGTCAAACATCAACAGAGACCGGCTCACCTAAGATACTGCCCCCTACCTCAACTGAAAGAGTTCGCAGTTTGAGCAGTGCTTCCACAGGTTCCGAGAACGAAGGTGTAGATAGATTTGGTAAAGGAATAAGTAAACTTAGTTTTGGGAAATCTCAAGCTCCTGTTAGTGTGAATGAAGCGAGGGCAGAGGGGGAATCATCACATGGTAAAATCACTCTTGGATCATTAAACAGACTTGCACATCATAGGAGTCCAAAAAATAAGTTAGAATCAGACGGGATTGAAATGACAAGTTTCAAAGTGACCACGACATCAACTGTGCCAACTCCTGGTAGTGAAGAAAGTTTAGATTTAAATCAGTACCTTCCAGAGTGCGAGCAAGAAAACCTTGGGAATTGTGCTTATGATTCTACTCGAATGAGCGAACAAGAGGCTACTGCAGGTGGGGTAGCTGATGTCCAGCTTGATGAACCTGAGGGTGCCATTGGTGGTGTACTCGATGTTACTGGAGAGACAGTCTCAGATGAAGCTGAAGGTGCTGTTGGTGGCCTACTCGATGGTGCAACAGTCTCAGACGAAGCACAAGATGCTGTTGGGAGTGTATTAGATGGAACAAAAGAAGCAACTTCACACAAAGAAGAGTTTGAATCTGAAGAAACTTCGGATGAAGTGGAAGGTGCCATCGGTGGCGTTGAGATTGATTCTGAGGAAGCCTCTAGCGACTTTGATGTAGCATTGCAAGATATGGTTCAATCGCAGTTTGAAAGTCTTACTCAAAGAAATCAAACAAAACAAGACAACGGTCAAGATGATACAAATCTGGATCCAGAGTGTGACTTCAAGGATGAGGAGAATGAATATGCTGAGAAGGAATGTGAAGTGAGAGACAACGAACAAGCCGAAGGTGAGGAAACTAGAACTACACTTACTGTTGCTGCTAGGACACAACCTGATGCAAGGCAGTGTGAGGATGTTGCTAGGAGACCAGATGGACAAGATGAAATCAGTGATTCAGATGATTCAGGGACTTTCCCTGAAGATGAAAAAGATTTTTCGAGCAGTATGCGTACAGTATAAACTATTACAGTTCGCGTGTGTATTCCATCATGTCCAAAAAGAAATTCCATCCACTTCTTCAATCAGTTTGTGTGAGAGTTCATTTGATTGCAGCTTTGATCAAATTTCAACTCTGACCCTCAAGTTGTTTACTTGCGAACACTTTGCTAAAAGAAAACTTGTAACCATGGAAATGGTGACATATAGAGATGTAAATGATATAATAGCCCAAATTGTCTTTAAATGTAATTCATAAAAAATAAGTTAAAAACGTAAACATTTACTGCTCTATTTTTATGAAGATGAGGTCTTTTGTTTTTAACACATTGATATTGTGAACTATGACAAATATATTGTGCAATATGTTAAGAACGTATGATACTTGGAATTTAAAATGTGAATTTTTTTCATACATAAATGAGTGAAATAAAAAAAAACATTTGTAGATTGGGAACATTTTTTTTTTTTTTGTGTTAATTTCCCTTTCATGGTAAAAAAAATAGTGTAAAAGCACAATATAAAATCTTTGAATTTACTATGGTTGTCTGTATGCATTCCTGCTTGCATGGTGCACAGGGATTTTGCTGCTGCTCACAATGTCTTAATACTCATACATGTACCTGGAATCTGAGATGTCAAAAATATCAAATTTACATTTTACCAAATTGTCATTGTGGGTACATCGATCGAGTATACCTAAAAGTGTTTTCTGAGACGCGTTTCTGAGTTCAGCAAACTGTTGAAAGTACTGTAAGAAATTAATCTTGGCTGCTGATAGCTCTCTTTGATTTACCTATTTAGAAGTTTATTATGAAAAAAAAAAGTTACGATACACATAGTGATAATAACTAATCAGTTATGAAGGATTTTGACTTCACTTGTGTCAATGTACGTTATTTAAGTCAATACATGTACACTGCCAATATTGCATGGGTAGCATACCTCTTGACTAGTTTGTTACAAAAAAAAAAAAAATCCAACTGTGTACATATTATTGGTTCATGTATAGTCTTCAGTTATTTCATAGTACTGCTATATTGTATATTTTTTGTTGTATGTTTCGTTCGTTTAATTTAAATAGAAATTATGGATACATCAAATTGAAAGCCAAACATATTTCATCAGTAATTATAAAGTATAGATTGATTGAGATGGTTAGCGTAGTTGGCCCTGTATGGATAATTGATTCAGGTATTTTTATATGGCTATCCAATTATAGCGTGTATTGTTATTAAAAACATTTCTGAGCTGGATGATTTAATCGCTGGTTTATATATCCAATATATAGTCATGCGATTGCAGTTTTCCTGATGTTTAAATGATACAAGGGCACTACACTGGGTGATATCAAATTGAAATCCTCAGTAAATGTTCAGAAAATCTTTTTAAACTGATAGTGATGGTGATGGTGATGATGATGGTTTTTCATGCAACAAAAGTAACTTTTGCCTAAGTATGCAAACTTGATAGAAAGGGGCTTTGATGAAAGGTCACGGTTAATGGGTGAACATAGTCCTTTTCGCTTGCTTGCGTCTTCCATTTACTTCCAGGATCAGTCAACTCAAATACAGCCTGATCAGAATTATTCTGACTTTAATAGCAAAAATACAGGTTCAGGTAAAATATTCATATGGCACTGCTGGAATTAAATATTAATCAAAGTATTTATCTTTCAAAAATTGTTCTGCCAATGTGATGGTCATGTGACAACTATGTAGAATGCCTATTGTGTTGAAGCATGTATGCAAGGCAGAATTTGATACATCAAAAAAACCTATCAACAAGCAAGCTGCTCTTTGGTTGGTCTGACTGTTAGATGTTGGGGGTTGGATAGCCAATCAGACACATTCTTATAAGTGGCTTCACATTGTATTTAAATCGTGCATGTTTATGTTGATTTTATCAGGCTAAAGTGATAAGACATCCTTTATGGAATACATAGTCTGCTTAAAAACATTGTATTTTAATTATAAATTGTCGTTTTGAGATGTATTGTTACAATTATGCATTGCATGTATATAAATAAATAACATAATTTTTCTTGAGTTGAGTTTTCATTCACCTATTCACTAGATGAATAATATTTAATTGCCATGATTGATAATTTCCTGCTGGTCTGCCCAGTATTCCTGTAGAGATTATCTTACTCACTGATCTGCCCAGTGTTCCTGTGGAGATTATCTTACTCACTGATCTGCCTAGTGTTCCTGTGGAGATTATGTCACTGACTTACTGGTCTGCCCAGTATTCCTGTAGAGATTATCTTACTCACTAATCTGCCCAGTGTTCCTGTGGAGATTATGTCACTGACTTACTGGTCTGCCCAGTATTCTTGTGGAGATTATCTCACTGGTCTTTCCATATTGTTGTGGAGATAATCTCACCGACTCACTAGTCTGCCAGTATACCTGCAGAGCACTTTCCACCATTGGCCAGAGCTAGATAGAATTAACTTCTCAAGTGATTTAATAGTTGATTTGCAAAGAAATTGAAAGTTAGAAATATCTTCCGTTCCATCATTACAAATTTTACATAACCCATCGCCCTTATAACTTCCCTATCCTATTTTA